GAGTTTATGCCAATAAAACCCAGAAGCTTGAGGAGTTAGGAGTCCATCGCTGATTATTGCAAAGCAATAGGTTACAGTCAGATTGTTCTGCAAAACTGCAATCCTGCCCGATGGTTCAGGCAGTGGTATTTATAAAGTTTCAAACAAAGCACTTAAATTTATACCAATCGTGTACATCATTACCTCATTTCATGTTTAATACACATGTGCAATAAGCACTGGCAATTTTGCTGATTCAGTGTTGATTCTCACCGTCATCTGTTACATTGCATTAGTATGCATGTTGAGAACCTGTGTTATGTGCAGCCATTTGCACTATGTAGCAACTTATGTTCTAGCTTTGAGCAGAGGCGTAGCAAGCCCAGGTGGTACCCGGTGCGAACCCCCCCCCCCACATCGACAGCTCAGGTTAAGCTTGGGAGTCGTGGGCGGGCACCGAATGTCACCCCTCAGCGAAGACACCTGGGGTGGTCCACACCCCCTTCCTACGCCTCTGCTCAAACTAAATCTCAACTAAAGTATCCATGATAGATCCAACAAAGGAGAGTCCATCACCTTCCAAGGGAGTCTTTTCCACTGTCAAACAGCTGTTAGAGTCTGAAAGTTCTTTCTGGTGTTCATTTCGTAAATCCTTTCTTGTAACTTCAATCCATTGGTTTGGGTCGTACCCTCTGAAGCAGCAGAAAACAAGCTGGCTCCATCTTCCATGTGACAACACTTTTAGACATTTGAAGTTAGCTATCATATCTCTTTTCAGTGTCCTCTTTTCCAGGCTAAACCTAGCCAACTCCCTCAACTGTTCCTCATAAGGCTTGGCTTCCAGACCCTTGGTCATCTGGGTTGCCCTCCTCTACACACATTCCAGTTTTTCAATATCCTCCTTAAATTGTGGTGCCCAGAACTGGACACAAACACTCCAGGTGAGGTCTACCGAAGGCAGAACAGAGTGGGACTATGACTTCCCTTGATCTGGACTTAGCATTAGCTGATTTTGTTGCTGCATCACACTGTTGTCTCATGTTAAGTTGGTGGTCTACTAAGACCTCTGTATTCTTTTCACATCTACTACTGGCAATCCATGTGTTCCCCATCTTATATTTGTGCAGCTGGTTATTCCTGCCTAAGTATAGAGCTTTACATTTGTCCCTATTGAAATTAATTTTGTTAGTGTTGATCCAGCAGACTAGAGACCACTTCATCAAATGCAAGTTGAAAGGCAAGATGATACACTTGCAAAAATATTTCTCATTTTTCATTCAAAAAGAACTACACCCTCCCCCAACCCAAATCATATGAAACTATTTTCATGGAATTAGGCAATGGCATCATTGTGCAGCATTCAAAGTTCTAGAGGGATAGCAACAAGTTTTTGCATGGTTAAAATTCATTAATAAGTTGGCTGTCTTCCAAGGCTGTGTGTGTGTGTGTGTTTGTGCGCGCGCACGCATATAGTGCTCATCTGCCACAATGTCCAGAAGGTAAGGAAGACTCACCTGTTCTGTCATCTCTCTGCATTTTAATTGCTTTCTCTTTTGCATATTAGGGACTAAGCAGAAGGGGAAAGCCTTAGCCTCTTGCTGTGAATATGATTTTGTTGTGGGGGGGGAGGGGGGAGTAAAAACACACAGAGATAAGGAGAATCTGTAGATATTTAATTTTATTTACATCCCAGTGTTCCTTCAGAAGACTCTGAGTCAGGACTGGCCCTACCATTAGGCAGTGTGAGACAATGGCCTCAGGAGGCAGTGCTCTGGGAATGCAATAGCAGCCCCTGGGTATTCATTCTGAACCAACCAGCCATTCCTCCAGTGGAGGCTGCTCCATTATGGTGAATAGGGCACTGCCCCACCAAATATAGTGTGCTCCCAGTCAGTCTCCCAGTTGCCTGCCTTCTTACCTAGAACCAGCTCAAAAGATGGCACTGCCTGTTAGCTCCCTCCCCCTTGACTCCTGTAGGAGTGGGGACAAACTTAAAGAGTTATTTGGCTCTGCCTGTCACCTAATGTTGGCCTCCCTGTCTTTCTGTCTTACCAGTCCCAAAGGGGACCAGTCACCACTGTATTCTCCTCTGTGGCCACATGGTCTCTCCTGGCCCCTTAATCTGGCCTGCTGCTTCAGGTGTGGTGGGGATGCTATCCTATTGCCAGTGGTGAAGTAAGATTAATCTGCCAGTCCAGCTGACTTCTGAATGTGGAATAAAGGGGAGCACCATCTTGCCCTTCACCTCAAGCACAAAAATGTCTTGGGTCGGCTCAACTGAGAGGAGTTTATGTGTGATTCCCTAAGGCTCCCATATAGACAAGTCTTCATGTACTTATTAGCTCCAACAAAACTAATGGCAGTCCCACTAGCTTGATCAATGTTGGCTCCAACAAGATCCATTGGGTTATGACCATGTTGTTAATATGCTGTTACAATTGTCATCTTGCCACTATTTTGCTAAGCAGGCTGTTGCTTTGAGCCCTGTTTCCCCTGCAGTGCATTGTGGGACGAGCAAGGCTGTGTATTTTAGTCCCACCCTTCATACTGCTGTTACTGTCAGCTCCACTCTTTCTTCTGTACATTGAATGGGGCAGTCTGAAGGGGAAATATTCATGCATTCAGCTGAGTGTGTTTAGAATCCTCCATGCACACAGGATTCGAATCATAGAATGTTGGAAGTGCAGCAGGGGACATCATTCTAAGAGCAATTTTAGGGTTCATCCTGTTAGTAAGTTAGAATTGCCAAGCCAATTCTGGATAGAGCCCAGGGGAGTAACAGCAGCAGAAGCAGCAGCAGCAGCAGCAACAACAACAACATTCATTTATACCCCACCCACTCTGGGCAGCTTCCAGAAGAATATAAAAACATAATAAAACATCAAACATTAAAAACTTCCCGATACATGGCTGCCTTCAGATGTCTTCTAAAAATTGTTGTAGTTCTTCATATCCTTGACATCTGATGGGAGGACATTCCACAAGGAGGGCGCTACTGCTGAGAGGGCCCACTGCCTGGTTCTGGCCATTGGGCCCAAAGAATACAATTGGTTGCTATTTTGAATCAAGATGGTAGATTAAACCTCTCAGGACTGCACTGTTTTTAACCAATGATTTCAAAATTAAAATGATGAGGGGTTTTTTAATAACTTCCCGAGCAACGCTGGGTATGAAGCTGCTGGTGTTGAGATAAGTAGCTTTTAGCCATGAGATCATTATCTGTAAAACCATTAAGCCCAGAATCTACAATTATCTGACTGCACCACTGGATGTTGAAGTGGGTACACCGCCATCACATCTCAGTATTTGTGTGTGCGTGTGTAATGAAAATAGAAAAATGCAAATGACAGAAAACCTGTAGCTATAGGTTTAGCTGGTTGGATAGGCAAAACAAGCAGGATGCGCTGTTTTAAAGTGGATGACATTCAATTAGTGTGAATACTTTCCACCACTATCATATTCATTCCCATCTTTCTGGGTATTAGCTGACTGCTGTGAGCATAAAGGATTTTTCTGTTTTTGTGTGCATTGTAAGCCCTGTGATGAGACATGATTAATGAGATGAAATCCCCAATTGGAGTTTCCTTCCAATCGATAGGCAGATGGGCAGGAGTAGATGTTGAACAAAAAGACAGCAGGAGATGCTTAAGTGATTACTATTTTGGTGACAAAACAAGGGAGGGAGTTTCTGAGAATGATTGAGACATTCTATACTTCCCCACACTTCTAATCAGATGTGCCTTCGTTTTCATGCCTCTCCCTTCAAAAGCTTAGTGGAAGACTGTTTTCTTCCATGTGCCAGTTCCTAAGTGTTTGTTTCAGTGGGCATTGTGCTCGGACTAAATCCCCAGTCAATGGGGTGGATCCAGACTGAGTTAGTTGAACTTAGACCCAATCAAAATTAACGAAACAAGATAGTCATGACTTAAGTTCCACCACTGCCAGATTTACACACAGGCTAAGTTAGCTATATTAAGACCTCAGATTGTGAGTGCCTCTAATTTTTTTAATAAAAAACCCCTAAATTTCACATTTCACATAATTGGTTACAAAATAATAGAACCATACATTTTATTTTATTTTATTTTATTTATTTTATTTTAGTAATGCATAACATAGCTGAGCCCTGAGTTATGCTGTTTGCAATGGGAATTAAATGCAACTAACTTATGCGGACGCGGGTGGCGCTGTGGGTTAAACCACAGAGCCTAGGGCTTGCTGATCAGAAGGTCGGCGGTTCGAATCCCCGCAATGGGGTGAGCTCCCGTTGCTCGGTCCCTGCTCCTGCCAACCTAGCAGTTTGAAAGCACGTCAAAGTGCAAGTAGATAAATAGGTACCGCTCCGGCGGGAAGGTAAACGGCGTTTCCATGCACTGCTCTAGTTCGCCAGAAGCAGCTTAGTCATGCTGGCCACATGACCCGGAAGCTGTATGCTGGCTCCCTTGTCCAATAGAGTGAGATGAGTGCCACAACCCCAGAGTCTGTCATGGTCAGGGGTCCCTTTACCTTTAACTTACATTCATACCTGGTAAAGCAGGGGCCAACAAACTTTTCAGCAGGGGGCCAGTCCACTGTCCCCCAGACCTTGTGTGTGTGTGTGGGGGGGAATGAATGAATTCCTATGCCCCACAAATAACCCAGAGATGCGGGCTGGATTTAGAAGGCGATTGGGCCGGATCTAGCCCCCGGGTCTTAGTTTGCCTACCCATGGTTTAATTGAACTTACAAGATAGGGGAGATACTAATTTGGTGGCATTTTAATATTTTATCTACCTATTTCACTCTTCCAGAACTGAAACACAGACACACTTTGAAGTTGGCACAGTTGTGCAGTTCTCCAATGGAGAAAAAACACGCACACACCAATGTGCTTTATTTAGTGAAAATTACAAAAATACATCATATGGGAAAGATACTTGCAAAAATGTTTATCGGCCAAGATACATAGAATCATAGAATGGTTGAGTTGGAAGGGACCATGAGGGGCATCTAGTCCAACCTCCAACAATGCAGGAAACTTTTGTCCAACGTGGGTCTCAAACACATGACCCTAAGATTAAGAGTTTCCTGCTCTACCAACTGAGCTATCCAGTTACCACAGTGAGTACAGTGACAAGGATTGGGATAGCTCAGTTGATAGAGCACCAGACTCTTAATCTCAGGGGTGTGGGTTTGAGCCTCACACTGGGCAAAAATATCCCTGCGTTGCAGGGGGGGTTGGACTAGATGACCCTCATGGTCCCTTCCAATTCTACTATTCTATGATTGTGAGTAAGGAAAAGATGCAGTAATGTGCATTGCATTTTTGTGTGCAAGCTGTAAGAAAGAATATGCAAACCAATGTGAAATACAACAAACTGAAACCAAAATTGACAGATCTGTTCATCCCTACTCCCAGGTAAGTGTGCAAATGACTGGAAACTTAGACAACAGGCCAAGGTTTACAGAAGAAGAAGGCATAATGACCACTTGAAAATCCAAGTCAAACTGAGAGCATTCAGGACACTGGACAGCTCCAGAGATGTCTCTGCAGATAACCAAAGCTCTATATAGGCTGAGGGGTGTATGGGGTGTTAGGGGATGAGTAGTTCCTCTGGTGGGGACACAGTGTGCTGCTTCTGGGGTAGTTTGTCCACCTTTGGTCCCCACCCTGCACTCAACTCTCATCTATGACTTCTAGAAGCTGTCAGCATGTGACAGTGGCCGCACCCCAGGAATGGCTTCAATTGGCTGGCTAACCAAGTTGAGGGTAGCCAGTGGGTCTCAAATCTTGGTCCAACTCTTCATAGAGGGCACTGCTTCTGCAGCTTCAGCAGATGGAAGAAAAAATGCCTTCCCAGTTCCACATTGGCTTATGCACTTTGGCTGTTCAGGAGCATCAAGGGAAGGATAGAGGTTTAACATTGCAGGAGAGGAAAGGATGGGTCAAGCAAGAGGTAGGTAGTAGTAAAGATGGTATGTGGGGAAAACTCAGCATGAATGGGACCTGTAGGGTAGACAGTAGGAAGGCCAGCAATGGGTGGAGTCAAAGCCAATGAAAGGCAGAGACAACTAATTCTAGTTTTGTTTTGTTCCCTTCCTCCTCTTTGCTGAGTTCTATAATTCTGAGACTAAGAGGAACCTGATAGGCAGTGCTACCCCTGATTGATTGTAAGAATGTGGGCAGATGGGGGCTGGGTAAAAGCAGCCTGAGATTGGTGGGGCAATGCCCCATCTGCCATAATGGAGTAGCTTCCACTGATCAGTGGGTCCCACAGGTAGATACTGTCTGCCCTGCCCTATTTTCTGTCTCTCCCTCCATACATTTGGTGAAGAATGAAGGGTTCAGAGGTAGTTGAAGAAAACCATCAGCTGCAGCAGAGCAGATGTTTAGCTCAAAGGAAGAGGATTTCTGTAATCTTCAAACAGATGCTTTCTTGATCAAAGGAGCAAAATTGCCCAGCAGGTCCTTCTGCTAAAGTGTTGCAATGGCCCTAGTGAAACACATCTGCCTTTTCCCAACAAGATTCTGTTTTGGGGGGGAGGTGCCCATCATCCTTTGTTTTAAGTGGAGCTCTGAAAGTAAAGCAGAGTTCAAAAGCCACAAGGTGGTATGTTAATGACATTGCCTCAGGGAAAAAAGGTTTCTCTTTGGAGAAAAGTGCCTATCATAAAGCCATCTCTTGTGGCTTTATTGGAGTTTTCTACTTTTTTTGCAACTGCTAATGGAGAAATTAAATAATTGAAATCATTAAAATAGTCATGGAAGTCTAGTAATTTGTTCAGTATTATAAAGGGGGCAAGCAGCTGGCTGTTGTAGGCTGAGCTTTGTTCTTCAAGAGCACAACTCATGCTGCAGTGCCAGTCTAGTCACCTGACAGAGCACTCAGTCCAGGGATGGGGAAGTTCAGGTCCGGGGGGCAGTCCACAGTCCATACTCCATAGCAGCCTTGTTTTGCATTAAATTTGTCAATACAAGAATTTTCCAATTATTTTCTCTCTTATACTAATATTAGTTCAGTGGTTGCAAACCTTCCGGGGACCTTCCAAGCATATTTGCAAAATGGAAAAACTGTTATGGGCACCATGTACTTGCTGCAACTGTGAACATGTGCCCTGCAACCAAGCACATACATGCCCCTCCCCTCTCTCTCATTTTTCCTCCTCCCCAACAGCATTTTCTACATGTTGCACTAGTTGCCTTTGCTAAGTATTTTCCTTTGCATTGGTAAACATTCTGCCATGTGGTGGCACAGGCTGAGTAGAAGCCATATCATGTGATTTTGCTGACAGCATGAGTTGGCTCTGTTAGGCTTCCCAGGTAAAGCCACATACATGGATATCTTTCCCACCCTTGATTTCTGTCCTCCCTGGATATCTGTCACTTCTTTGAATTGAAAAGCATGTGCAGGGCATGCATGTGATAAATGTATGCATCACAATGTAGGAAGTCACAATTGCTTGTGGTGTGTGTGAAGAAGCCCATTGTAAGTGTGCAGGTTTATCTCCAAAATCAATCTATTTTATTATTTTATTTTATTTATATTTTATTTATTTGTATCTTCTCTATCAAGTTCCTTCCTTAGTCTTGATTACTTTTTTTCTATATACAACTTTATGAATTGGCATATACAGGAATCATGCTGCCATCTCTAGGGTGGAAAAATGTGACAAGCAAGTGGCTATCTGAGTTGGGAGTGGGTGGCAGTTTTGCAGTGGTTCTGGTCCTACGTGTTTCCAGGGTGATGCTTGCTCTTCAGCCCTGTGGAGCCTTCAACATAAGGTTCTTCAGGGTTCAGTTTTATCCTCCATCCTGTTTAACATCTACATGAAACCATTAAGGGGGATCCTTCAGAGCTTTAGAGTATGTTGTCTGCAATATGCTGATGACACACAGCTCTACTCACACATCTGCAGGGGAGGCAGTGGATGTTCTTGACCATTGTTTTGCCTCGGTAATGGACTGGATGAGAGCCAACAAACTCTGTGTGTGTGTGTGTGTGTGTGTGTGTGTGTGTAATTTTGGCCCAGCTTAGGGAACCATAGTACCAAAGCCCCTGGTTGCACCTTAACCTTTCATTTGCTTCTTTGGATTTCAAAGAATATGCCATATTGCATTTCAATCTAACTGTTATCTAACCGATTGCGCCTTTCGGAGCAATACGCTTCTGGGAGATAAGTACTGATCACTTCACTTGCATTTTTGAGTTTTATGAACTGCTGCTTTTGCTGCTTGTTTGCTACATTATTTGTTTTAGGAATGTATAAACCTCTTGGTACAAAATATTTTAAGTGGTGAACAAGAGTATATAAAAATACATCGGATGAATTCAGTCATAAAAAAATTAAAAGCATAATAAAGTTTAGGGAAGCTTTTAATGTTTGATGCATTACTGTATTTTAATATTTTGCTGGAAGCCACCCAGAGTGGCTGGGGAAGCCCAGCCAGATGGGCGGGGTATAAATAAATTATTATTCTTATTCTTATTATTATTATTATTACCCTTGTAGATTGTAGATTATTATTATTACCCTTGTAGATTGTATTGGCTAGAAATTAAGGACAATTCAGCTACAGAATGCCTGGGGGAAATGCAAGCTTTTTGTTGATTTTGGAGATTTTGGATTTTATGATAATGGTAATTTTTCGGAGTGGTTTAATGTCTTTTGAAAATTTGTTGTGAGCTGCCCTGGGTTTCTTTCTTTTTTCCTTTTCTTGTGGGAGAGTGGGCTATAAGTTTTTTTAAAAATAATACCATAAATATATAATTCAATGCTTCTAATGTGTTAATGCCTGTGTAACTGAGGCAGACATGGATATTTTGAACTGACATCTGCTGATTAAAAACACACTTAAAGCACATGGCTTTCCCCAAAGGATCCTGGGAACTCTTGTTCATTAATGTTGCTGGGAATTGTAGCCCTGTGATGGGTAAACTAGAATTCCTTGGCTCCTTTGAGGGAAGCAATGTGCTTTAAATGTATGAAATGGAGATGGCTTACTGCCTCCTCTCCTGTTGTTTTTGATGTTTGGAGACTGACATCTGATGGCCAAAATCCTTTTCTTCAGCCCTCCTTTTTTTAAAAAAAATAATAATAATTCAGCTTTAATACACACGTTACGAATATACAAACATACAAACATACATTTCATACAATCCTTAAAAATGTTCATACATACCCACACTCAATCCCACAGATACTTCTTTTTCCTACCACCATCCCTCACCCCACCCTTGTGTTTGACTTCCAATCTACTCAATTGCAATTTCTTTCCACTTCTATTACTTTCTTTCACACACTTTTAAATCAATTTTCTGCTTCTTTTTCTATTACACATTGTTATCCATCTTATTTAGTATTTCAGTATTTAAAATGGAACTTGTTTATTCTAATAGGAGTTCTGATTTTTCAATATGGTTTTGCAAGTATCCTTTAAACACCTTCCAGTCCTTGTCTATCTTCTCTTTTGAGATCCTTCAAATTTCTCCCATTGTTTTGGATATATTGTAATACTCCAATAATTTGGCAAGCCACTCTGTTTTTGTCAGTATAATACCACTTTTCCAATTTTTCGCAATCAATAGCCTTGCGGCTACTGTTGCGGATAAATATAATGTCTTGTCTTCTTCCTTTAGACTTCCTGGTACTATTCCCAGTAGGAAACCTTCCAATGTTTTCCTAAATAAATATCTGAACATTTTTTTCATTTCATTGTATATTGTTTCCCAAAATTGTTTGATGTTTAAACAATTCCACCATATATGCATCACAGTACCTTTTCCGGTGTTGCATCGCCAGCAGACATCGCTACAATTTTTATTCATTTTTGCTATTCTTTCAGGTGTTAAATACCATCTATGTTGTATTTTGAGGTAATTTTCTTTCAATATATAACACATAGTGAATTTCATATCTTCTTTCCACAATTTTTCCCATTGTTTGAACATAATATTTTCCCCAGTATCTTGCACCCATTTAATCATGGATGCTTTAGCCAGTTCATCCTTTGTTTCCCATTCTAAGATCAGATTATACAATTTAGATATATTTTAAAATTTTTCTTGTATTAAGTATTTATTGAATTTTTATATTTCTCCCATCATTGGCCTTCCTGGTGGCAGCTGATGGGAGTTCAGCAACATCAGGAGGGCAGAAGAATTTCAATAAATAAATAAATAAATAAATAAATAAAAATTCAATATCAAAATCCAC